TCATCGCGAACGGTCAGCCGAAGCACCCTCGGGGCGCGCCAGCGGCAGTTCAAGGGCGCCGCGAGGCGAGCCCTTGAGGGTCGTCCGCTTCTGCCGAGCCCTAGTTTGCCATCCGGCGGCGCTAGCGCGCGAGGCCAGCGGGGCGGCCGAGCAGAGTTGCCGAGCCTGCTCGTTGCACAGCTGGGCCTGCGAGAGGCGGCCGAGGGCCGCCGAGCGCCCCGCAGGCCCGCCAAGAGCGAGAGGGGCTGCAACGCTCGCCGCCGCGCACCGCTGGAGCGCGCCCAACCGCCCGTGGCTGCCGCCGCCCAGGGTCAGCTCAGTCGAATCGGGGGCGAGGTCGAAGAGGGCGGGCGGCGCGAGCTCCCGCTCGTGGGCCATCGAGCCGAAGTTGGAGAGGAGGGGCGGCTCGTTGGGTTCGGCGACGGGTTCGGCGTCCAGCGCCGAATGCTCCGAGACATCGTGCTGCGAGACCTCCCGCTCCTGCCGATTGACGGGCGGCCCGTCGCCGTGGGCGGGGGGGGGGGGCCCTTCCCCGCCGATTCCAAATCAGACGTCCACCAGGCGGGGCCGCGCCCAATGGGGGCGATCAGGAGGAGGCCCCCCGCCTCGGACGCGCTCGGCCAAGTCGCCGAGGCTCCGCGTTGCCGCCCCGCCACCGCCCCATCGCCAGGGGCCGCCTCGGCTGCCGCGCGAATCGAGGCCCGGGCGGCGCGGCCGAGGCGGGGCGAGGGCGGCCCGCCCAGTGCCGCGGCGGCGGCCGGGCGCCCGTGCCGCCCGCTGCAGCCGGTCGAGGGAGGCCCGCCGCCTCGCGACGATGCTCGCGGCCAGTCCTCGCGGCGCAGTGGGGCCCCGCTCTGCGCCGAGGGCGAAGCGAAGGCGGTGGGGCCGCAGCTCTCCTGCGCCCGCCTTCGCCCGACTGCTCGTCGCTCTGGTCGCGCGCGGGCGCGGCAGCAACTGCGCTTGCGCCGGCGCCCGCCTCTGCGCCCGGCGCGCCGGCGGTGGGCATGCCCGGGGGGGCGTCCTGGATGGAGCTGTCGGCTGCCGCCCGAGCCGCGTCGTCGCGCCGCGCTCCCTCGGCAACTCCGACGCGGGCCTGCGGGGGGGGGGGGTCGGGGGCGGGGCGCTGCGGGTCGGGCTGGGGGTCGAGGGAACAGCGGTCGCGGGGCAGCTGCAGAGCCCGCGCCGCCGCGGCCGCGCGGCTGGCCCCCCGCGCGGCGAGCTCGCTGCGCGCGGGGGGCGCGCCGACATGAATAATGGCGGGGGCGCGCGTGACCGCGGCCGCGGGCCTTCTGTGGAGCTCCTGTGGGGCCCCGAACCGCGACGGGTGCGCCTAAATCGGCGGCGGGGGCGCGTGCGATCGCAACCGCTGGGGCCCATTTCCCATTGCCCCTCGCGCGGCGCACGCTGCGCGCGCCCTTCGCGCCGCGAGCGCGACAGCGCGGACGCGCTGCGCGCGCCGCCCGCGGCCGCGCCGCAGAGAGGCGCCCGGCGCTGCCGCGGGGACAGACCGGATAGCCTTTTCGCCGGGGTGACAGCGCGCTCGGAAGCACGCAGCAGAGGCGAATCGAGCCGTGCTTCGGCGACCACCGTTCGAGCTGGCCACCAGGTCGCCGCCTGGTGCCCCGAGGTCGAGAAGTGATGGCGACAAATCGTCAAACGCCCAGTGCGCGCCGTCATCCGTCGACGTCGACGACGACACAGTCGGCGCCTGAGGAGCCTGGGCCGCCGACGTTTCCGCGGCGGCCGCGGCGCGGCCGCCCCTCCACGCGGCGGCTGGCCAACGGCGGCGGCGCCGCAGCAGGGGTGCCCGAGAACGCCGTGGCGCCGCAGGTGCACTGCGGGAAGGGGGGGGAAGTTCACCTCGGGAAACGCAAAGCACTCCTTCAACGTGTATTTGGCCTCCTCGAGACACGACGTCGACTCCAGGGCGAAGGGCGAGAACTCAGGCGCCTCGGCCCGCGGCGCCGAAAGCGCAGCGGCGGGCGCGGGGCAGCCCGGAGCAGATTCGGCATGAGAAGAACCGCGATCTAGATCGCCGACGGTCGCCAGCCACACCCCCTCGGTGTCGGCCTCGCCGATGGAGGTTGTGGAGTCCCGAAACGGTGCGGTGACAGACCGCGCGGTGCCCTCGGGCCCCCCAGAAACCTCACCGCGCGGTCCGTCAACGCACGGATTTGGGACCCTGGAGGCCCCTGTCGCCCGAGATGTCCTCGGAGAACGACCCGAGTTCCAAAACCGTGCGGTGGCGCCGAATCCCCGCCGACTCACCGCGCGGTGCGGTCACCAACCCGTTTGGGGGGCCCCGAGGGATGCTGCCGTCGGCTCCGAACGCGCGGCTGACGAAGGCCGCGATCCCACCTCGCGCATGAGGCATGTCCCTGAGTCAAGCGCGGACGCCCCAGCCGTCGCACCGAACAGGCTCGTCGCCGTGGACATCGCGAGAAATGACCCCGCCTGCGCCGCCGGAGCCGGCGGGCGATCATCACGCAGAGCTTCCCAGCGCCCAGCACTAGGAGTCCCACCAGCCCTCTGGGCGCAGGTGGTATAACGGTGAACTTCTTGCCTCTTCCAAAAAACCCTCTTCCCCCTCGGGGAGGAGTTTGCCCCTCCCCCTGCCCCCTCCCCTGGACCGGCAGGCGATCATCACGCAGAGCTTCAGCGCCCAGCACTAGGAATAGTGGCAGGAACTCCAAGACGTGAAGCAGGTGTCGTAGTATGCCATTTCTGGTTTCAATTGTCGTAGCGTGTTGTCCACGCGCGCGTATCCTCAGCTCAGTCCCTCTTGCCTTAAAGACTGCCTTTGCGGTGGAGATGGCGGGCTCCCAGGGCCAAGAGGCGCGGGCCGCGAGCGGCGGCGCGCCACTGCGCCAGCCCCGCCCCCTCCTCGGGAAGGACCTCGCAAGGCGCCGACCGAGTGCCAACGGCCCTCGAGACCCAGACATGCGACGCCCTGATTTTTTCAGGGCGGCGCCCCTGGAAGTCCAGACCCTTTCCCTGGGGCCGGTTTTCCTCCTGAATCGTTTTGGTGACGGTTCCGGGACCCGGCGAGGGCCCCCAGGGTGTGGAAGGGCCGAAATTAGCGAAAAAACCTCCCGTCCTGATTTCTCTACGACGCGATCCTGTCTGGGCACCAGCGCCCCGCGCGGCAGCCGCTCGCGCCTATCTGCGTCCTCCGCCAGGGCCGCGCGCGCAGCGCCGCGGCGGGGCGGGCCGCCTCGGCCGCGCACAGGGGCTCTCCAGAGCCCCCGCCTCGCAGGCACCGCGGCCACGGCGCCGAGCCAGTCGGCGGCCCCGCGTGAATCGCCACGGGCACCGTTCTCCCGCCGCCCCCCCGAGCCGACATGCCGGGCGCGCGGAGCAAAGAGCGCCCAATCGGCTCGCGCCTGAGAGCCGCCCTTGAGCCGGCGCGCGCCACGCAGGAGCCAAAGTGGCTACGGAGCCACGGGGGCCTTCGGTGGAACTCCCGCAGGGGCGCCGATGCGCGTGAGGGGTGTGCAGAAATGGGTGGCGGGGACGCGTGTGGTCACAGCCACTGGGGCCTTCGGTGGGGCTCCCTGTGGGGCCACGACACGTGTGAATGTGTGCCGGAATAAATGGCGTGTAATCACAGCCACTTGGGCCTTCGGCGGAGTTCCCTATGGGGCCACGAAGAGAGTGAGGAGTGTGTCGAAAAGGGTGGCGGGGACGCATGTGATCACAGCGGCTGGGGCTTTCGGTGGATCTCTATATGGGTCCACGAAGCGCTGCACTGGGTGCGGAGGGCAGAAGCAGGGATGGGAGAATGGGGAGGAAGGGACAGCGGGAAGAAGGAAGAAAACGCGGGGCGCTGTCTCATCAAAACGAATACCCAGCACCACAGGACGGTTTGGAATCAGCTGCAACCTTAATCATGCAGTCGTGAGAAATTGCCGTCGGTGCGAGTATCGCCTTCGGTGGATCTCGTTATGCATGGGGCCACGAAGCGCATGACAGTTGTGCCGAAATGAGGCGGGGCCGCCATGCGGGCGCTGCCACTAGGGCTTTCGAGCATCGCGAGGAAAATGACATGAAGGGGGGGGGGGGGGCCAGCAACAGGGGCCACCGGGGCCTTCGGTGGAGCTCCCTATGGGGCCACGAATCGCATGATTGGTGCCGAAATGAGGCGGCGCCGCCATGCGGGCGCTGCCACTGGGGCTTCAGGAGGAGCTCCCTGATGGGGCCACGAAACGTGTGAGTGGTTCGCCGACATGGGGGTGGAACCGCATGCTGGCGCTGCCACTGGTGATTTGACCGACTGGTTCATTGATGTACGCACACTTTCCATCGGGAGGGGCCAGGTGGACTTGAATAATTCTCGGCAGCGCAGACAACACACCGGCAACAATTACCTCTGGCGTGCGGCTTGCCAATCGTTGTATGCGATGCGACAATAGCGGCTGGTGTGCCTGAGATTGTCTCCTCCTCCTCCTCCTCCGCCTCCTCCTCCTCCTCCTCCTCGTCCTCCGCCTCCGTCTCTGCCTCCGCCTCCGTCTCTGCCTCCGCCTCCGCCTCCGCCTCCTCCTCCTCCTGCTCCGCCTCCTCCGCCTCCTCCGCCTCCTCCTCCTCCTCCTCCTTCTCTTTCCTCCTTCCTCCTTCCTCCTTCCTCCTTCCTCCTGCCTCCTTCCTCCTTCCTCCTTCCTCCGTCCTCTTCCTCCTCCGCCTCCGCCTCCGCTTCCTCCTCCTCCTCCTTCTCCTCCTCCTCCTCCTCCTCCTTCTCCTCCCCCCCACCTCCCACCCGCGCCTCCGCCCTCGCAAGCCGCGCACCAGAGATCACTTCGGCGAAGGGCCACTCTGACGCGTAGCCGACCCCTTCCCTCCTCTGGCTTCTGGGTCATGACTCGGGCCGGCGGCGGCCGCTCGGGACGATCGGCCGCACCCCGGGACGCTCTCGGCGAGGCGCAGCTGCTGGAGCGCGTCCCGAGGCAGGCTAACCTCGCGTGGCCAACGGGCGCTTCGGTCCGACGCGGCGACAGACCAAGGCCCGTCCTCCTCCTCCTCCTCCTCCTCCTCCTCCTGCTCCGTCCTCCTCCTTCTCCTCCTCCTCCTCCTCCTCCTCCTCCTCCTCCTCCTCCTCTGGGGCGCCCTTCGCGCAACGTGGCGCAAAAATCCAAGGCCCGTCTTCCTGCTGCATGTTTCGGGCCGGGACCGAGCCGCCGTGGCCCCCCGGCGCGAGAGAACCCGGGCACAAGCGCCCCGCGTGAGGAGGAGGAGGAGGAGGAGGAGGAGGAGGAGGAGGAGGAGGAGGAGGAGGAGGAGGAGGAGGAGGAGGAGGAGGAGGAGGAGGAGGAGGAGGAGGAAGGAGGGAGGAGGAGAGGAGGAGGAGGAGGAGGGAGGAGGAGGAGGAGGAGAGGAGAGGAGGAGGAGGAGGAGGAGGAGGAGGAGGAGGAAGACGAGGAGGAGGAGGAGGCGGAGGAGGAGGAGGTAGAGGAGGAGGTAGAAGAGGAGGAGGAGAAGAAGAGGAGGCGGAGGAGGAGGCGGAGGAGGAGGAGCCCAGAGCCTTAGGGGCAGGCGGCGCGCGGGTGGCCCCGCCCCCCCGCCCGAAGACCAGCTCCCCGGGCAGGTCGCCCAGCGCGCCGAGGCCCGCCGCCGGGTCCTGCCGGGGACCTGCTGGCCCGGGCCAGGCCAGACCCGGGCCAGGCAGGCTTCCCGGACCCCCTCGCGCTGTGACAAAAATCTCCGCGGGAGGTTTGCCGCGAGTTTCGGCCCCCGGGGGCCCTTCCCGGGCCTAGGGGCCGTCAAGAATCGGCTCGGGACGACAGGCTGGTCCCGGGGAAGGGGTCCAGACCTCTGGGGGTCGACGCTGTGACAAAAACACGACGTCGGGGGTCTGGCTCTGCAGGATCCTGCGGGACCCTTGCTGGACCCTGCGCCCAAGCCCGGGGTCCGTGCGCCCCTGCAGTCCTGCGGGGCCCCAGACATCCGACGTCTCGATTTTTTCGAGACACAGGCCCCCGACCTCCCGACCACTTCCCTGGGACCGGTTTCTCATCCCGAGCCGTTTCTTGACGGTCCCGAGGCCCGGCGAGGGCCCCGGGAGGCCGAAAACTGGGAAAAACCTCCGTCTCGATTTCTTCGAGACGCCCGATGTCTGGGACCCTGCAAGGTCGTGCGCTCTGACGCACCCCCCGCCTCTCGAGCCCCGATCCTGCAGCTCCGTGTCCTCGCCAGAGCGCCGGCTGTCCTCCAGCCTGCGGTGGGACCCGGCGATGCCGAGGAGCTCGCGGGCCCGGCGGCTGGGGCCCCGGCACGGCTCGGCGCCGCAGAAGCCCAGGGGCCCGACGCACAGGAGGACGGCGGGGAGCGCCACGAGGGCGTAGACGAGCGCGAAGAAGGTGACCGGAGGAGGAGGAGGAGGAGGAGGAGGAGGAGGAGGAGGAGGAGGAGGCGGAGGAGGAGGAGGAGGAGGAGGAGGAGAAGGTGACCGTGAAGAGCACGGTGGCGAGCTTCACGAAAATCTGCAGCCTGCAGAAGAAGAGGAAGAAGCTCGCGCCGAGGGTCGTCACCGCGGAGCCCATGATCGGGCTGGACATGGCGTGCAGCGTCTGCGTCACCGCCTCGCGCCGCTGCGTGCCGTGGTCCGCCTCTGACCTTGCGCTGTCGGAGGTCAGCTCGGAGTACTTGGCGGCGATGTGGATGGAGTAGGTGATGCTGTAGCCGACGAAGATGATGAGGCCCAGCACCTGAACGACTCCAAACAGCCACCCGAGCACTGCGGACATGAACCAGGCCAAGCAGATGGTCACGCAGGAGACGGTCAGGAAGACCAGCACAGACAACGGCAGGTTGAATCGCGTGAAGAAGAGCGCACCTGCGAAGGCACAGGCGGAGCTGACGATCATGGTGTTCATCGTGCTGTAAATGATCGCCTGCTCGGCTTCGGCGCGGATCCACAGCCGCGAGGTGCCCCACATGTCTCCTGTGCCGATCGGCGACCTGTGACTCAGCGCTGCGATCTCTCCGTCCCACTGCTCCTTGAACGCCAGCAGGTCCGCGGAGGCAGAGTGGCCGAAGGAGAAGGGGACGCTGAAGTCCATCATGGTCGCGACGAGCTCCGAGTTCTCGTTGAACCACATGGCGTCGCCCACGGGCATGCTGGTCCAGTCCATGATGATGCCCGCGTACGCGAACTTCGAAACGTAGTGCTGGAACTGCGAGGCCCGCACAGGGAACTCCTGGTTCTCGCTATGCCTCAGCCACGACTTGAAGTACTCGATCCAGCAGCCCTCCCCGAGCACCCGCAGCTCGGGCGCGGCGGACAGCGACCGAGAGGCGTTCAGCAGGAAACGCTGCACGCTGGGAGCCTCTGACGGAACAGGCAGCGGCACGAGCAGAATCTTTCGGAAGTCCGCGCGGACCTCTTGGACCCCGCGCCGGGCCCACTCCGCCAGGGCGGCCCAGCGCCGATGCGGAGGCTCCGCGCGGAGCTCCGAAGGCTGCTGCCCGTGCCGCCGCGTCCCTCTCGAGCCTCTGGCTGGAAGGCGGCGTCGAACTCCCAGAGGGCCTCGGGCACGTCGCCGAGCAGGCTGGTGCGCGGGCGGACCTGTGGAGGCCTCCTACATGGGGTCCGAGCAGATGGGGTCGGAGGACCGCGCCGCATCCGCGATGCATCGGCGACGTCGAAGGTGCATCGGCGACGCCAGCGTGAACAAAATCGGGCTCCACATCGAGCCGCACCCTCGATGCGGCGCAGTCCTCCGACCCCATGTGCTCCGACCCCATCTGGGGACAGAGGGGGGAGGAGGAGGAGGAGGAGGAGGAGGAGGAGGAGGAGGAGGAGGAGGAGGAGGAGGAGGAGGAGGAGGAGGACGAGGAGGAGCCAGGTGCAGGAGGAGGAGGAGGAGGAGGGCGGAGGAGGAGGAGGAGGAGGAGAAGGAGGAGAGGAGGAGGAGGAGGAGGAGGAGGAGAGGAGGTGGAGGAGGAGGTGGAGGGACAAGCTAGGTGCGCTCGCGTCATATCTGACGTCCTACCCCTCCCTCCCATCCCTTACCATGGCGCTGATTTTCTCTATCCGCGGACGCGTGTCGTAGCGGACCTGTGGCTCCGCGCGCGCGTGCGTAGTGGGTGGTGATGCGCGTGCGTGCGTGCGTGTGTGCGTGTTATGGTGGTGGTGGTGGTGGTGTGGTGGTGGTGGTGGTGGTGGTTGTGGTGCTGGTGCTGGTGGTGGTGGTGGTGGTGGTGGTGGTGGTGGTGGTGGTGGTGCGGCGCGGTGGTGGCGGGCGGATGGGCGCGCGAGAAAGAGGCCCGCGCTGGGGCGAGAACGCCATCCTGAACGACGGAGGCCAAACACCGATCCGAAAATGAGGCCCACGCTGCAGCGGGAGCACGATTCGGAACGATTCGGGAGCAGAAATGAGGCCGGCGCCTCAGCGAGAGCAGCATTTTGAAAAAAACGCAGGCGAAAACCCGTTTCCCGGGAATCCTGTGTGTAAAAAAACAGTACGCGGGGGGGGGGTCGGATATCTTCGGGACGCCATCAGGGG